TCGCCAGACAGACAGAGAGAGACATAGAGACAGAAAGCGAGAAATCACCCCCCAGGGGGGATGGTCACGCCGCAGTCCCTTCTCCTCCATTCTCCTCTCGGGATCTTGGGCACGCACGCACACGCGCCCGGCGTGAGATTTAAGCCACCGGGTCCGAGACGCGAACCGCGGTCGACTACGTGGGAATCCAGCGACATAGCCATTACGCTAACTGCTGGTTCCCGAGTGTATAGACTGTATTAGCTCTGTCTATAGACTCAATGTGTGGACGGATGAGCAAACAGTGAATCACAGATGACACTCCCTTTTATTGGATTAAATTAATTTTCTTTGCAAGCTATCTCTGTATTATTAGTAGTTGATTTATAATTTTTTTCCATCTTTGTTGAATAAAGCGTGCTGTTCAGGTCTCTGAAGTTAGTATCTTTTGGCTATTGCTATTAATAGTTGAAAATATCCTCAATTGAATATAAATTATTTATTAAGGTAGATATTTTAAAATTTAGTATAACATCTTTTTTCAGTATACTGATCATATATTTTTTTTCTTTTTTAATTTCTACAGCCTGACTTATATTGTGGCAATGCCTTTTTATTCAGCAAGTCTAATTGAAACAGTACAGGTAAGCTCTTTTTTAATGTCATTTTTTAAAAATGTTTTTTAGACTATTCAGTGTATTATATATATCTGATTATTGGCAGAAAATTTAATATAGTATTCTATCAAAATGTTTATTTCATAGTAGCACACATGTATCACTCCTAGCCAGTGTGTGTATATTTCCATTGCAAAATTCAGCTACACTTCTAGTTTTAATTACTTTTTTATCCCTTTCATAGCAACTGTACTCTTCATTTAAATATCTTAGAACCCAACCTGTGACTTTCTTTGAATACCAACAATCTGTCAACTTGTTAAGGCCCTTATGTTCAACTTTGATGGTTATGGATTATCATAAGACAGTATGTTAATACTTTTCTAAAGATAAACATGATGGATAATTATTCTCACAGTGCACAGTTTACTGATAGCATTCTTTTTAATATGCCTCTTAAGGAGTTTTTGATAACTATTGGCATGGTTAGTACCACAAAGCTAAAGCAATTCAATTATGTTTGCTTGTTTTACTATTTCTAACCACATGGTGGTGCTTAAAGTTCATCGAATGAAATGTCATACACTTTCTCCTCATACCCTGCCTACACTTAAAACTGTAAGATGGCAGTAGTTTAACTTCACTTGTGCACAAAATCCAACTATTTGTAAATAAATCTTCCAACTCCAACATTAGACTCTTTAGCCTGTTTTTTTTGTTGTTGTTCAATATGTGCCACTGCCCGTTATATAAACCCCCCTGTGCTGGGTCAGCCTTTCCTCTTCTAATTACTCTTCCCCGTTTAGCTTCTTTTCTGGACCCACCATTGATCTTTGTTTTATGTTAGAACCAATTTCAGTTAACTGAAGTTAATGTCTTGGCCTTGTGCTAAGTAAATGATATAACTTTTACATGGTGCTATAGTTTACAGAATACACACTGTATGAGAGATCTTCATTGTAAAGATAAGGAAAAATGGTAGCAGGAAGGGTAATTATTTAAGGAAAAAAGAACTAAGCAACATGCTTAACACTATTGTTATCTTCACCCTAAAGATCTAAAAGTTTAGTTTTAACTTGGGGGATGTTTTGATTTTTATGTTTCTTTCATCTTTTATAACGAATCAGTTATCATGCCTACTTAGTTCTAACTTAAACAAATATCTAAGCTTTGTCTGTTTCCCCTGATAGGCTACTGGTCTCACCCCTTCTTTACCATATAACCAGCTTACTACATTATCTTCTTCCTTCCTATTGATGATTCCTATTCAGTGGTTCTTTGCCTATACAAAAAGTGCAGATCTCTTTGAGAGCATTGTTTTCCTTGAAAAATACATATTTCTACATAGGTCTCCAGAGGAACACCTACCAAAGCCCTTGATATAGACTTGCTTGTGATATATTTATTTTTAAGACTCCTTGTTCTGGTCCCTGCATTTTGAAAGTACGTTCTGCATTCTCAAGCAATATTGGTGTACTTAAGTTACAATACTTAATCTTTTTGCCCATTAAGGGTCCATATCAACTCATATTCTCGATCTGTAAAAACAGACACTGCAAATGGTAACAAGGCCAGCACTTACCCGATGCTTTTTTTTACTTAGTGGCCATAGCTCTGGGCATAGATGGTAGGTTGTGCTAATTTCCATGTTTAGAGAATGATAAGCTGATGCTTAGGGAAGTATATAACTTGCCAGGTTATGTAACCGGTAAGTAACAAAGGCAGGGCTCACACCCACGTTGAGAGCTCTGAGTACTGTACTGCTTCCGTCAGCATCATGTGGTGACTACTTTTTCAGAGGAGTTCAAGGAGCTTCTTGAGTTGGAGGAAACCAGTTATGTCCACCTCCCTGCATGCCTCCCCTATCTCCCTTCCCCAACATAATAGCTCCCAACTTCACTGCTCCTGTTTTATGAGACTCCATTTCAAGAAAGAATCTGATACCTAGATGATATCGGATTCTGCAAACCCTTTGTGTGTTCCTTCTCTAGGCAGGAAATGGGGACTTGGAAGGGACTTAGAAAGGATCCCCTTTTATGTGCAAAATGATCATATGTGTTGTCCTACTTATTTCCTCATTTTTATTTCAGAGTGAGATAATTCGAGATAATACTGGCATTTTGGAATGTGTTAAAGA